GTTTCCCTGGGGTTTTTTTTTTTTTTTTTTTTTTTTTGTACCGGCTATTGAACTCAAGACCTTGGGCTTGCAAGGCAGGTGTGGTGCCATTGAGCTAAATCCCTAGCCCCCTGGGAAGGTTTTATTTATTTATTTACTTATTTTGGTACTGGAGATCAAACTCGGGATCTTGTGCTTTGAGGCAGGCGGCAGCACCACTGAGCTAAATCCCTAGCCCTCTCTGGGAAGGTTTTAAAAGTAATGACATGGGTGTTCTGAAATGAATAGGAGTTTGACTTGTGGGCACGAGAGGGTAAGGGTGTTGTGGGCAGCAGGAACAGGGTCAGAGGCGTGAGCTGGTGCTTTATTTGGGGAAAGTGGGGAATTGGCTGAGACTGGTGTGGAGAGTGGTTGAATGCTTGCAGGAAAAGGACCTCCCACCACGTGCGAACGGAGGCCAGGGCTTCTCCCTCACCCACAGTGTGAGGCACAGGGTCCAGGGAGCAGCTCTGGGCAGGGGTAAAGGGCGGAGTAGGGCTGTGGCCTGGGCTGAACCAGTCAGCCAGGTGGCAAAAGGCTCTGGATGTTGGGCTCTTTGAACTTTGTCCTAGGCAGGGAGAGTTTGCGTTTTATCCAGAGTGGAGCAAGGAAGCCTCTTCCGGGTCTTCCTGCTCTTCCTGGGGGTGGGGGAGGGTTCTGGAGAGGGGTAGGTGCCCAAGAATGGGACCAGCTATCCTCTAGGCAGGGGGCTGCTTGGTGACAGTCTTAGAACACTCCCATGTGGGAGCCCTGGGCAGGAGATCTGGCTTCTGCAGCTGTATCCACCTCCCCTGTCACCAAGGGATGGATGTGGGATGAGTTTGTCAGTGGCAGCTGCTAGTCAGCTGATCATGACAGTGTGGGCATCCCTGGTGTGCCCAGCCCTGTTCTGGGCAGGCAGTCTGGTCCTCTGCTGGAACTGGGGATCCCTTGGAGGGAGAGTGCTCCTCGTGATGATTTTGAGACCCCACCGACAGAGTTGCACACTGTTGTGGTGCTTCTGAGGCTCAGTTCCCCACAAGTGTCCCATCGGCTTTGTGATTGTGAAGCCCCAGAGGTGGCTTTATCATCCTCAGGCACTTGCACTGGGTGGTCCTCCCCTCCTGGGCTCCTGGTCCTGTGCCAGGCACCTCTGGAGCCAGGTCCTCTGAAGACCTCCCTGTTTCTAAGCACAGCAGGGACAGAACCCATCAAAGGGAGCAGGCGCTTCCCTGGCGGCTGGCAAAAGCTTGGGCTTATTATTTATTTTTAATGGAAAACCAGTTTTGCAGATTATGAGGATGGAATATCCATTGAATGTGCTTTTGTGCTTTTAAGTGATCTTTTAAAAGAGAAGTGGTTCTATCTATTTCTGTTTCACACAAAAGACATTTCAGTGACAGCCCCAACCGTGGGACAGGCTGGGCTGTGTCTTTAGAAGACCAGACAGCTGGTGGTCTTGGCTCTTGGCCCTGTGGTCTCTGTTGCTGCCACTCCCCTCTGCTGGTGGATGGAAGACCATGGACCTTTTGCACAGGAGTAGAGTAGATTGCATTCCAATAAAACTTTATTAACAGACACAGGAGGTGGGTAGGGTTTGTACTGTGGATTCCAGCCCCTGTATGGCCCATACCTTGACCCCCACCAGGTGCCAGGGCCCCGGACCTCAGGTGCATTCATCTGAAGGGCACAGGGCTGTCTAGCACCAGTAGCCACATAGAGGGATGCCCTTGGGCAGGCAGGGCAGTGGGGGCACTTGCAGGATGGGGAGGAGGTGACATTGGGAGCGGTGCTTGGGCTGAGCCAGAACCCGGAACTGCTTGTTTGTGTGCAGGTCCTCAGGGAACACCAGGAGTGTCCTGAGGAACACACTGCCCTATGGGAGGAGAGAACAGGAGGAGGCCCAGGGTACAGATAGGTCCTCTGCCCCGAGAAGGACAAGGCGGGGGCCAGGGTGTGTGGGACCCTTGTCCTCCACAGTTGGGAGGGGCTGGGCTCCCTGGGCCCATGTGAGGCAGAGAGTACTCTCGTCGGGGTGGTGGGGCAGCCAGGCCGAGCTTGGCCAGGTCCAGGCAGGAGGCAGGGGAGCAGGTAGCTGTGTTGTGTGTGAGGTTGTGTCCTCATGTTGGCAGGAGGGGAGCCTGTGGTCTCAGGCTGGGGTCTCCCTGTCCTGGGGTCCAGCCCCTGCCCTGGTGTGAACGCATGCCCTTGCTGTGTCAAGGTCCCGCACAGAACCCCTCCATCTCCCAGGTTCCTGCTAGGATCTGGGCCAGCTGTCCCTGGCTGGGCAGTGCCTGGTAGGGATGTGTGAAGGGGCAGAAGCCCAGTGGCCCTGGGGCCCCTGCTGTGGCCAGCTGGTTCTGTCCCCTGTTGCTGCAAGGCCTCAGACCCCCTGGAGCATAGGTGTAGCTCCAGCCACCTCACTGTGCCTGGTGCCCTTGGCCTCTTTGGTCCGTCCACTTCCTGCCCCTCTTCCTTGGGAATTGATGGAGTGCTGGACAGGGACCCCTCTGATCTGTGCCCTCCTGGGCTGGTCGAACGACCATCTGTAACCCTACCTGTGGTCAGATGTGCTGGGTATGGGAACCTCATCTGACCCTCACACTTCTCCCCGCGCAGTGACTGCCAGGACCTGGAACAGAACTTCATATACCTCCCTCCCCCAAAAGAGTCCTTTTCCTGGGGCGCTGGGTTTCTGCCTGTCCCTGCTGACCCAGGACACAGCCATGGTCCCGGCCCCAGTCTCTCTGGGAGGGCAGGCTTGTCCCTGCCACCCTCTTCCCTGTGTCCTCAGCTGTAAGATGTGTCCAGGAGAGGACCATGTCCCAGGCACCTCGTGAACATAGTCGCTTGCCCTAAGTCGTCCTGTGCCCTGGGGAGTCCATCTGACTGCCCTGTCCCTGCTGCAGGTGGCCTGTGAGTATGGCATGGTGCACGTGGTATCTGAGACTGGAGTCCCCAGAGGCAAGGACTACTGCATCCTGTACAACCCGCAGTGGGCCCACCTGCCACATGACCTGGGCAAGGCGGTGAGTCTCCCTAGGTGCCCTGGCCTGCGAGAGGGCTGGGGTCATGTGAGGGCCCCATGCCAGGCCTCAGGTTCCTTGGCCAAGAACTAAAGCTGCCCGGAGGGCGTGGGCGCTGGAGAGGCCTGTGGGAGTGCAGGCCAGGCCTGCTGCTCTGTACCACCATCCGTGTCCCCAGGCAGTGACAGCAGAGCGCGGGGCCTGGATGCGCGGAGGTGCACACCCTGCTATCCCCTGCAGTTTCTTCCCTCGGGGTACAGCCCCCACTCTTCACCATGCCTGTCTGACCCTGATGTTTGTAACAGACCCAGGAAGGTCCTGTTGTCCAAACGATCATCACCTCTGTCCCTTCCTGTCTGAAGTGTGAGTGTGCGGTGCAAGTTGAACGCTCAAGTCTGTGCGCTGTTGCGTGTGCGCACGCAGGTGTCCCTGCCTCCACGCCCGGTGCTGGGCCGTGAGGTCTGAGAGCAGGGACCTTTCCAGCCTCATGTGCTACCTGGTACATGGTGGGGACGTATTCAGTCCTGTGTCATGGATCGAGAGGTTAGGAGGATGGGCTGAGTGCTGGCTGGGGCTTCGTGAGGCCGGGCTGTTGTGAACCCCCAGAGGAGAGCCAGACTCTCCTGAGGCCACACACCACTGGCAGCATCTCCCCGACTTGGGCCCAAGGTAGGAGGTGGCCACGTTTCTCCATGGGTGCACAGTGGGTGGCAGCGGGCTTCCCAGGCTTCTCGGGGGCACTGCAGGCTGTGAGGCTGGCGTGGGGGCTGTGCTCGGGGCAGTGGCCCTGGACCCCAGCCTGGCCCTGTCCCATGGGGACGCTGGACCTAGGGCTTCACCTCCCAGCCGCTGGGACTCTGTGCAGGAGAAACCCTGGCAGACGGGGATACATGCATGACCCCACGGTCCACTCGCAGGGTCCTCAGGGATGACCCCTTCCACCCTGTCATAGTGGGCTGAGCTCTCACACAGCCCACGAGGCCTCAGGATGAGCTCTTGGCCTGAGCCTGGTGCTGGAGGGTTGGCAGCATCCTTTCTGGTGACTCGGGCGTGGGAACCTCTGTAACACCCCCCCCATCCCCCAGTCTCTCCTGCAGCTCGGTGACTGGTCATCCTCCCTGCTCTGCTCCCCCAGCGACCTCCCTGCTAGTGGCTTCAGCAACCAGATCCCGCTGGTGGCCCGAGGGAACTGCACCTTCTATGAGAAAGTGCGATTGGCACAGGGCAGCGGGGCCCGTGGGCTGCTTGTGGTCAGCAAGGAGAAGCTGGTACGGCTGGTGGCGCCAAGTGTGGGCGTGAGAGGTGGCATAGATGAGGGGTCTGGTTTTTACTGTAGATCACCTTACTTGTGGCCTTGGGACCTACTGCAGTCCACTAGGCCCTCAGGTGGGCCTCCGGGTAACTTCTAGACCCCAAATCAGCCTGGCACAGGGCTGTCTGACCCCCCACTTGAGGCCTGGTGCCTGGCAGTGGCCATTAGCCTGGCCTGGGCTCAGTGGCCTGGGGTCTGGAGGGGCCAGGACCTGTGGGCCTCACCTGCCCCTATCTTGTGCAGACTCTGCTCCCTGGGGTTGGGGGGTGATGCCCTGCACCTCCTCCTTTCGGGCCCCAGGTTCCCCCAGGAGGAAACAAGACACAGTATGAGGAAATCGGTATTCCTGTGGCCCTGCTCAGCTACAAGGACATGCTGGACATCTTCCGGGTAGGTGTCCGCCTGCCCCGGGCTCTGAGGAGGGTGGTGGCCCCGGGCTGGGCCTGCAGGTCGTTCCGCCCGACAGTCAGCTGGTCAGGTTGGGGCACAGGGGGTGTGGAGGGCGAGGTTCCCTGCTCAGCCGTGCGTTCTCTGGCAGAGCTTCGGCCACAAGGTACGGGTGGCGCTGTATGCGCCCAGCGAGCCGGTGCTGGACTACAATATGGTCATCATCTTCATCATGGCGGTGGGCACGGTTGCCCTCGGGGGCTACTGGGCTGGGAGCCGGGATGTGAAGAAGTGAGCACAGGGCCGTGTGCGTGCACCGCTGGGTGGAGGGGTGGGGGGCGCCTCACCCGGGGGAGCACTGGAGGTGCCCACTGGACTGTCACTGCAGTGGGGTGTGGTGGGCGGGGTCCCTTCCCGGCGACGTGGGGCTCCCGGCCCAGTCTTGGCGCCCCCATCGGTGCAGTGGTTCCAGGGGTGGGAGAGTGCAGGTGCTGCCCACTGTGCTGCCCATAGTGACTGCCCAGGAGCTGCCCACAGTGGGAGGGGTTCCCCTGAGTGCCTGGTGAGCCCGGTGTCCTCCAAGAAGGTACATGAAGCACAAACGTGACGACGGGCCCGAGAAGCAGGAGGACGAGGCAGTGGACGTGACGCCCGTCATGATCTGCGTGTTCGTGGTCATGTGCTGCTCCATGCTGGTGCTGCTCTACTACTTCTATGACCACCTTGGTGTGCCCCGTGGAGGCTGGCGGGTGGTCGGGGTGGGGGGCGGGCTGGGGGGCGCCTCACTTCCCCCCTTCCCTTTGCAGTCTACGTGATCATTGGGATCTTCTGCCTGGCCTCTTCCACCGGCCTCTACAGCTGCCTGGCGCCCTGTGTGCGCTGCCTGCCCTGCTGTGGGTGCAGGTGAGCCTGGCCCCTGTGCACCCGGAGGTGCCAGTCCCAACCCCCGGCCCCAGCCTGTCTGGCACAGTTCAGGGAATACAGCAGGTGCTCACTCAGTGCTGGCCCAGAGCAGAGCGGAGAAGGGGCACTGTCCTCGGAAGCTGCTTACCTTTGTGCCCAGCCTGCCTCCCTCTCCTGCATCATGTCCAACAGCCACCTGGGGGGTGCAGGGCCCAAGGGCCCCCTCCTCCAGCTATCCCAGGGGTCTCGGGGGCCATGGGTCGCTGCGGGAGCTGCAGACCCACCTTGCTCAGAGTGCCCGAGAGTCCCCAGCCCAGCTGATGTGTTCTTGGGGATAGCTGAGGGGCTGAAGCAAGGCCAGATGGGGTTCAGAGGACCCTCAGGGAGACCCTTGTAGCTGTTGTGCTTGGGTGAGGGCAGGCCTGGTGCAGCAGGGCTCCTGTGGGTGCACCGCAGTACCAGCTGTCCTGCCTGCCCTGGCTCTTTGTCCTCAGGAGGGGACATGAGCTTGACAGGGCTCTGGGGTATTGGGTCCCGTGTGGAGGGCTCTCTAGGGAGCCATCGGGTGTGGGTGTAGGCACAGGGTCGGGGGGGTGGTTGTGGGCCATTGGATCCCAGGTGCTGATGGGCGGTCCCCACCAGGGTCCCCGACAACAGCCTGCCCTACTTCCACAAGCGCCCCCAGGCCCGCATGCTGCTTCTGGGGCTCTTCTGCGTGGCCGTCAGTGTGGTGTGGGGTATCTTCCGCAACGAGGACCAGTGAGTGCTGCTGTCCCCTGGGTCTCCTCCCCTGTCCTCAGATGCCCTGGCAGCACCGTCTGCCTTTGCTGAGACCTCCCGCCTGCAGCTGCTTCAGCTTCTGTCCCGAGCCTACACCGCTCATCTGGGCGTCCCGCCGGACCTGTGTCCGGTTTCACCTCAGGCTGGCTTGGTGCCCCCTAAGCCCTGATTGGAATCTGGACGGAGATGCCGTGAACCTTTCTAACCTCAATATCCACGGTCTCCACAGGGCCCCCAGGCAGGGGAGACACTGGCCTGGTGCCACCACTGTCCCCCCACTGTGCCCACTGTGGGCCCTGTTCATACACTGCGGGCCGTGGTCCCCCCTTCTTACACCTGCCAGCGTGGGGATGGCAGTATTTCTGCCGCCTGTCCCCACCCAGCCGCAAAGCTGTTGCTGACGCCATCTGGCGCTTCCCCGGGTGTCTCGCGTGGCTGCCGAGTGCTCTTGGCTCTGGTGCAATTTGGAGTCCTGACAGATTTAACTGGCAGAAGGAAGACAAGAAAATATTTTGAGTCCTTTGTACACAAAGACTCTCACAGCAAGGCCCACCCGGGCCAGGCCAGGCTCCAGCCAGGGCGAGGTGCACTTACCCTGTGTCCATGAAGAGGGTGGCCTCTGTGTGCCCATGGCCAGGGCCAGGCACAGTGTCCCAGGTCACCAAGGCCTTGCTTTCCAGGTGGGCCTGGGTCCTGCAGGACGCGCTGGGCATTGCCTTCTGCCTGTACATGCTGAAGACCATCCGCCTCCCGACCTTCAAGGTGAGGTGCAGCCAGGAGGGGGCACTGCAGGCCCCCCATTGCCAGACCTGTGTGGAGCTGCTCAGACCCGGTCCTGGGTGGCCCCTCACGCGCGGCTCCCCGCAGGCCTGCACACTGCTGCTGCTGGTTCTCTTCATCTACGACGTCTTCTTCGTCTTCATCACACCCTTCCTGACCAAGGTAGGTGCCCAGCGCTCTTCCTTGCACTGTCCTCTGCCCCACTCCCACCCTGACGTGGCCCTTTCTATGCAGAGCGGGAATAGCATCATGGTGGAGGTGGCTACCGGGCCCTCAGACTCAGCCACCCACGAGAAGGTGCGTCGTCTCAGCTGTGTAGCTTCGGCCCAGGTTCTGATGGGGCTCCCCAGGCCAGGCAGGGGTACAGGCCTGGAGAGTCCTCCCCTGCTGTCTTCCAGCTGCCCATGGTCCTGAAGGTGCCCAGGCTGAACTCCTCGCCCCTGGCCCTGTGTGACCGGCCTTTTTCCCTGCTGGGCTTTGGAGACATCTTGGTGCCAGGTGCCGAGGCGGGGTGGGGGTGTTGGGGGATGTGGAGGTGATGGACCAGGGCCGAGGCTGTCTCTGGCGGGGGGAAGCATGGAGGTTCTAGGCTCGGGGGGGCCCCAGGGGTATCCCCTGCTCAGAGCAGTCTTGGCCCCATCTGTGTTGTGGTCATGCTGCCTGGTGGTCTGTGCCCCCTGGTGCACAGGGTGGAGGTCTGCCCAGTCCCCTCACCTCCAGGGTCCCGCGCGGTACCCCCCAAGCAGGCCATGCTGGGCTAAGGGTTGCGGGTCGCCCCAGCCCTGTGCTGAGCTGGTGTGCGAGTGACATTAGCAGCCTGTCAGGAGAGGTGGCCTCAGCCTGCAGTGAAGCTGCGGTCCCCTTGCAGGGCTGCTGGTGGCCTACTGTCACAGGTTCGACGTGCAGGTGCAGTCCTCCAGGGTCTACTTTGTGGCCAGCACCATCGGTGGGTACTGCGCATGCCGGGAAGCTGCCCCACCCCGGCTCCTACAGTTGGCCGGTTTTCTTTCTTTTCTCCTTTGTTTTCTTGTCTTTCCCGCCTACCTTCCCTATTTATTGCCGGAGCCAAACATATGTATCACCATTTTCTGTTGAGCCTGGATCGTCTCTCAGTATTTTCCAGCTTAGCATGGTGGCACATACCTGTCACCCTGGAAGGCTGAGGCAGGACGGTTGCAAGTTCAAGCCTAACCTGAGCAATGTAGTGATAGTGAGACCTTGTCTCAAAGTGTAAAAGAAGATTTTAAAAGGGCTGAGTATGTAGCTTGATGTGAAGGACTTGGGTCCCATCCCCAGTACCACAGAAGCAAAACAAAACCCAGGTCAGCGTGATTGTCCCCCAGCTGGATGTTGTGGATGAGGGGTGTTCCAGACAGGGCCGCCCGGACCCATCACCCATATGCGGTGTGTCGCGCCCCTCTGCCCTTGATTCCCACGCCCGCTCTGCTGCTCGTGCTTCTGCCCTGTGCATGGTGTCCCTGCGGGTGCGGGTGGGGGCACCTGGCCAGCACTGGCCAAACTGACACTGCTGCCCCTCTCCCCTCGTCCCTCCAGCCTATGGCATTGGCCTCCTGGTGACGTTTGTGGCGCTGGCGCTCATGCAGCGCGGCCAGCCTGCGCTCCTCTACCTGGTGCCCTGCACACTGGTGACCTCGTGCGCAGTGGCCCTGTGGCGCCGGGAGCTGGGCGCCTTCTGGACAGGCAGTGGCTTTGTGGTGAATACCAGTTTCTATGACTGTCTGCGGGAGTAGTAGCCTAATGGGCCTTAACTGGGTCACAGTTGAGTAAGACCTCCTCACGTTCCCACTAAGCCCACCCTGTCCCTGCTTTAGAGGGGTTTTGCTCAGGGGGTTGTGGTCGTGTGGTGCCCCCGGGGGTGAGCCATGGGTACCCAGGCTGGGCGTGGCCCCAGGCCCACACTTCCTTTGCCAGCATTGCTCCTGAAAGGAAGTGACAGCCTCTGTCATGGATACCCGCCTTCTCTATCCCTGCCACAGGGACCCAGCGCAGGGCTGCTACAGCCGTGCAGGAGGGAGGTGTCTTTGTTCTTACCCCTGTCCCCGGGGTGGTGCCTCACTAGGGCACTGCTGGGCCAGTTTGGGGGGTTACAGTAAGAGCCAGCCCGCTGTCCAGGATGGGCCACGCTCGGATGGGCAGGCCGTCCCGGCCCCGTGTCTATCCTGGTGCTCACAGGCTTCTCCTAGAGCCAAGGGCACAGCGGTGACTGCGCCACAGGAGTGAGTGGGTTGCTGGTGGGTTCATGGTCCCTTTTCCAGGCCTCCTGCTGGCCCTGAGCTACCTCCAGGGTCGCCCTCACCCTGCCTGTGGCCCTGTGCGTAGCAGTTTCTGCCACCCCAGCCAAGGGTCTGCCCCAAGTGCTTGTCCCCATGTCACCCACAGCCTCTTTCCTGCAGAAAGACCTACCTCAGTCACCGTGGGCCCCGGCTGATAGCCCCCAGCCTCCGAGGGACCCGGATGGCCCCTGCCCTCAGCAACCTCCAGGTGAAGAGCAGGCCAAGGCCCCCCTGTCCACTGAGCAGCCCCCAGAACCATCTACGTCGGAGGAGGAAGGGGCTGCCGCACCTGCCCAGGAGCCCAAGAGCCCGGCCCCCCACCCCTCAGAGCGTGTGGGCCAGGACCCAGCCTTGTCCAGCCCCACCGCCCAGCCCGGGATCTCGGCCTAGGGAGGGGACAACCAAGACCTCACGGCCCCGCACGGCCGTCGCCACCACACCACAACGCTGGGGCCGCTGGCGCCTGCGGGAGACACAGGACAGCCATCCCCACCAGCCAGGCCCGCGCCGGCCCCCAACATGGTGCTCGGTCCTCAGCGGGGCTCCGTGGGCCTCCTGCCCTCGCCTGGCTACGCCCAGCCTCTCCAGCCCTGCTCTGTGCGCTTGGCCGCCTCAGCCCCTCCAGCTCCACAGTCTTCCATCAGGTCTTCTTCCTGGTCGCTTGTGCCATCTGCTTGCGGCCGAGGCCCCTGCATCTGGTGCTTCACCTGCCGCTGCTTCCCTTCGGGGTTGTCCTCCCTGCGGGGCACAGCTCCAGGCGGCAGAGGGACAGAGTGCTGAGCAGCTACCACTGTCTGCGTGAGGTGGGCCGGGGCGGAGGGCGCCCCAAGCCTGGGACAGGTGGAGCGAGGCCATCAGAGCTCGGGAACCCGACCACAGTGGAGACTGTGGCCCTGCCGAGTCGAGTCCAGTGAAGGCCCCTTGCACCTCCCTCTTTTAATAAAGGGTCGCTGCTCTCTGAGTCTGGTGGTGTCACCGTGCGACTCGGGGACTACTGCCCCACAGGGCGGGGTGGGCACAAGGGAGGCCACACAGGACCGAGGCAACCATCAGGGGTCGCCCAGCTCTCTGTCCAAGGGCTTCTGGACTGAGGGAGAATGATCCTCCCGAACCAGCGTTCTGTCCTCTACCTCACCCGTGGGTTTGTCCAGGCCCCAGGACAGAGCTGCCTGTGGCATGGCCACCTCCTCGGTGTGGCTGGTCCCTACACGATGCTGCATGTTGCCCCCAAATCCCAGGCAGTGGAGCCTGGCATCCTATACAGGTGTGGGGCCCCTGTCCACAGCCTCCAGAACGGCTCAGAAAAGTAGAGATGGCGCCTTCCACACTGGGCCCAGACAGAAGCCCAGGTAGCTGGGCTCCGCTCTGCACCGAGGGTGTCGAGAGCGGACCTCGTAGCACCACAGCCCTGCAGCCGCTCCAGCCCGAAGGTTCCAGAGAGCCTCCAGTGGAAGCGATGCAGGAGGGAAACACAGGACCTTTCCCCTAACGTGTTCTGTTTCTTGGAAAGAACTGGAGACCTGGGGACAAGAGCAGTGGGCCCTTCCTGTGGATTCCAGGGACAGGACCCAAACGGCCGGTGCCCTGCTTCTGCCGTCAGATTGCGCCTTAACTGTAGCCATTTTGTACATGGGTGTGAGGGGCGTTGGGGCGGAGGGAATGTCCTGGGGTCTTCCTTTGTATGTTTTGCCTTGCTCCTGTTGGATCTGAAGATTAAACATAGCTTTTGATATTTACCAGCTGGCTTTTCCTCCCTGGATGTGTGTGCAGTGGGAGGTGGAGGCTGTCCCTGCCCTGCTCCGGTGCAGGCAGAGACCACAGTGGTGTGGCACGGTGGGCTCTCATCTCTGCCAGTGCCAGGGCGACAGTACCACGCAGGGTCCTGGTTGAGATGCCAGACCCAAAGGAAACCTAGCAGCTCATTCTCTTCCCAGTGTCCCGGGATCAGGTCCAGTGGTCACACCGTGGGCCATGTGGTTGTCACAACTGCTGTGCTGTTGTTAGGAGCATCACAAGCCAGATTGATGTAATAGCACACGTCTGCCACCCTAGCACTCTGGGAAGCTGAGGCAGGAGGATGCAGGTTTCACCTCAGCCTGGGCAATTTAGCAAGACCCTGTCTCAAAAAATAAACTGCAGGTGTGGATCAGTGCCAAAGCCTCAGGTTCCATCCCCAAAATAACAAAAAGAAAAAGTCACAGAGCTGAAAGTAGAATTTCATAGTATTTTCACATGTCACAAGAAAGTCTTTTTGACTGTTTAAGAAAATTAAAAATGTCAAGCTGGGGGCAGTGGCGCACATCTGGGAGGCTGAGGTAGGAAGACAGGTTTGAGCCCAGTCTGGGCAATTTAGCAAGACTGTCTCAAGAGCAAGCAAGTTGGGTGTGGTGGCACACACCTGTAGTCCCAGCACTCAGGAGGCTGAGGCAGGAAGATCACAGCCAGTTCAAGGCCAGCCTGAACTGCATAGAAAGATCCTGTCTCAAAAAAACAACAGAAAAAGCCCCCCCATGTTTTTTTTTAATTGAATTTATTGGTACTTTTTAAGTATACGGTACAGTTACATTCATCATTGGGATCTTGCACCTTTACATGACAGATCTTGGTTCTCATTTTTTCCCCTTACCCCTGCCCTCTCTTCACGCCCTCAACACTCCTGTTTTTTGTTTTTTTGAGGCAGGGTATCCCTTTGTGTCTGATCCTAAACTCACTGTGTAGCCCAGGCTGGCCCTGAACTCTCAGCAATCCTCCTGCCTCAGCCTATCAAGTGCTGGGACTGCAGGCAGGCACCACCAGCCTGGCTCCCAAAGGCCTTTCTTCCCATCAGCCATGCAAAGGCAGAAGAAAGCTTGGGTTTGGCCCTTGATCGCCTCCCTGACCAGTAGGAACTGGACTGTTAGGGAGCAGGCTTTGTGTGTGGGGACAGCAGGGCTCAGCACGTCCCGGGCTCCTGTGCACTGGGACCTCTCATGGTCACTGGGTTTCCCAGGTGCTCCTGCATGCTGAGGAAAGGGGGTCTCCAATCTGCCGCAGAGACCTGAGAGGAGGGGCACCCGCAGGTGCTCAGCCCATCGCCTGCTACTCGGTAGTCACATCTCCCTTCTGGAGGAAGAGCCCCACCCACGTGACACCAGAAACCACCCCCACCGGGGCTGAGGACCCCACACTGCAAACCACAGGGACCCATGGCAGATGCGGGCTATGAAAGCCAGTGTATCTTCTCAGCTTGGCTTAGCAAGCCATCCATGATGGCCAAGAATGATGCCCTGCTATCGGTGGCCTTGATCTGGAGGTTGCACAGAAAGAAAGTTGGGTGACCTGTTCTAAATGTCCCTCCCTGTACTGCATGAAAAGGTTATCTTGTCAAGCGGTGAGCACAGGCTGACCCCAGGCGCCGGGTCTCAGGAAAACAGCCCTGGCTCACACATGTCCACCCCTGATCGCCAGTGGTCTTGGTAAGTCCCTCAGCTCATCCCGCTGTCCTCTGGAGGGTGGGGCTGACCACGTGGCCACCTTGGGGCACAGCGTGAGATGCCACAACATCCAGGGCTGTGAGGTGCTGCTGACTGACACGGGCCTTCCTGGTGCCTTCATCCTTTTCTGGCCTCCAGACCAGACAGGTGGGTGCTGGGGTCCTTGGGGTTCACCTGCCCTGTGACCCTGCACCACAGCTGATGAGGGCAGGGCCTTCCCAGAGGGAGACTGGGCAGGGGTGGGCTGGCAGAGAGGGAAGGAGGGGACAGCTCTGAGACAGCTGTTTTAGTTAAAAAGTGAAGCAATGTGTCAATGATAGAAATTTTCTTTCAAACAGCTGACCAGAGCTTAACTATTTTTCATACATCACCCATCCGTCCACAGACTCACCATCCACCTATCCATCCACACATCCACCCACTATTCATCCGTCCAGCACCTGTCCACCGCCAGGCTCTGTTGAGCACCTGCTGGATGTCAGATGCCCCACTAGGGACTGGGGAGAGGTACATCAGCCCGGCGAGGAAGCACAGGACCCAGGATTGCAAGCTCAACTACAAAGTGAATTCAAGGCCGGCATGACCTACACAGTGACACAGTGACACTCTACCTTGAACTCACTAGGTAGCCTAGGCTGGCCTCAAACTTGAAGCAATCCTCCTGCCTCAGCCTCCAGAGTGCTGATATGACAGGCGTGAGCCACCGCACAGAGTTTATAGTCTCAATTTTTTTGAGGGGGTACCTAGGATCGAACTCGGGGCTTATGTGCTTGCAAGGCAGGCGGCGGCACCCCTGAGCTAAATCCCGAGCCCTATAGTCTCAATTTTTGTGCGAAGATGTTCTAAAAACGAAACGCTTGGTTACAAAAATAAGGTAGTTATTCACACACAGACCTTGCCCAACTCTGTCTGGGGAGTCGGTCCTTGGGGTCCAAAATCACCTGCCCAGGTGGGCTCACCTACCCTTGCCTGGAGCGCGCGCCACCGCCACTCGCAGCAGCCGAGGGGGTGACGTTTACGGGGGCGGGGCTGAGCTGGGGCCAGGTGGGC